CTACACCTCAGGCAAAGAACAGCTTGGCAAAATAGCCTAGACACTGAAAACTCAAGAAAATCATAAGCCACTAATGGTGGAAAAACATGAAGACTTTTAGAGCGACAATGCACAGATAATACTGTGCACTTCCATGTACTCTGACTGTAATGAAACACCCCTTCTTGGAGAGGGTACAGCCAGGGAGACTAAGAATGACTGGAATTGGCTGTAATAAATCTATAGATTCCCTCCCGCCTCTCAAAAGCTAGGGAGGTGTCTGTTGTGGGCTAGCCCTCACAGGAAGCAGACTGTGCTCTCAGAGCACATCACTGAGCTACAACCCTGTTGAGCAGAGGAACTTCAACATGGTGGCGGGTCTCCTTCTCCCCTAGGAGGAATTCTGCACCTACACGGTGCTTGTCAGCTGGGAGGTGTCAAGGCCAGACAAGCAAGCCAGACAAGCCATACTAGCAAGAAAATTGTACTAGTTTAAAATCTCATATAAAGAGTACCAGTGAAGTGGTCAGCACTTAACAACTTTCCCCACCACATCGCTCTAAAGACCAGGTGGGTCACCTCCCACTGCAAGTGGCACCCAAGTGCCACCAATGGTGGTCACTTCAAACCCCTCATGAACACCAGTGGGGGTGGCCTGGCTTACAGAAGAACCTTATTTCCCACCCTTCCACCCCAAACTCACCTCTAAATATCCCTGTTTGTGAAGTCTATTTATTTCCTGTTTCATATATGAAACACACATATATATGTATGTTTTGGAGGCTTCTGGGGTTTGTCCTGATATAGTTTCATCTGTTGCCCCAGAGGCCCGAACACACAAAACCAGCAACGGCAGTTTTAATGGCAGATTAAACAAAAATTTACAACAGTAAGATGTTTGCTAAACTATATACAAAGTTGCCAAATGCTGCCAAATATTACTCCCAATATTGACAAAGAGAAGGTGCCCAACACTACTGAAAATATTGAGACATTTCACTGCTTTTGGGATCTTATCTTTCACACTGCAGAATCACTTTTGCTGGCAGCATAAACTAACTTGCTGCCCCTCATGGCTAGATCAGACTAGGAGGCTTTTGCCTTGGTTTCCCATGGCAAGTGGGAGGCTCCAAGCATACTCTTACGCTCCTTTCTGACCATGGCCAATGCTTGAAAGCCATGCTCATTTTTAACTCCACAGTTACTGAGCCTAGAGAAAGCACAAGGTCTTTCAGTGATGCTTTACACAACAGGTTGTTCTTGGACATGCACACAGCATGATTTTTACAGCTGTTTCAGTGCTTTTGTTGTTTCCCTTAGAACCTTACAATAACTAAGAGCAAACAGCTCCTGAATCAGCATAGCTGTGCTAACAGGAGCCTCAGACAAAGCCAGCATGTTGTCTCAAATTGCCATCAGTAAATAACCACAGATTCCTTGCCTCACCTGTTTGGCCATCAATGATACACTCATGTAAGATTTCAGAGGAACTGTGAAGACTTCTAAATAACGAGGAAAGAATAAACGAAACACAAGAAAGAGCAGCACTGTGCAGAAAAATCACTGGGTGCGAGACACATACTCATCTACCCTCATCAGTAACTGGGAGAAGCCATGGGGATGCGATGCAGGCAGTGAAGCCTACATATCCTGCTGTGGACGTCTGTACCAGTGGATCCACCACGCCAGCGCTGTGGCTGTCTGCACAGAAAGACAATGTTACAGCCAGACCTATCCTGTTGGCTCATGTCTTAGAGATTCCCTGCTCTTCAGGTCATCAGTTACCTGGTTCAACTCCTCACCTCAAAGTGGCCACTGTCACCCAGCCGAGCCCCCGGGCTTCCTCCCTGCACTCTCCACACTGAAGAAGCCCAGTGAGCCCGATGTTCTCTGCAAAGTACCAAGCCCCACAAGCCAAAGACCTCTGTGGTTAGTGACCCACAGCTTACAAGCAGTTCGTGTGCCTTTCGGAGTCAAGCGGGATTGGTGAGGTTTCAGCCCTCAGAGGTTACATCATTCTCAGGGCGAAGGAAAATGCAAAGCAATAAACAGCTGCTGCGGGTAGCCGGAACGCCGCAGAAAATATTTCAGGGCCTGTTTCTGCTGCTGGTTCTGCTGGGGTGAACCTGGAGCAGGTCCAGAGAAACAGCAGAACTTCCCCAGGTTCATACCTACGCAGTTGGGATCAGAATTATGCCCAAAGTGAAAAAACTCACAGGAGCCATTTGTTGCGAGCGTGCTCCCTGCTCCACGAGCTCTGTTCCCATTACACACGGGACAAAGAGAAGAGTCAGCAAACCACAACATAGGAAGGAATGCGCTCCCGGCCTCATCAGGACTCAGCTCGGAGGAGCAGCTGCTGCTGCAGCTCCTACTTCTGTAGTTTTCCTGAATTTCACATTGCTACCGGTTGATGGGAGGGGAAAAGAGAAGGTCAGTGAGTATTTCTGGGGGTGGAAGGAAGCGATATGATTGCAAGGCTTGATTCTGCTCCTGCTTACTTTGGAGTGACTCCTTCTAGCTTAGCTGAGCTCTCTGTCAGTATAAAAACTGCGAGCACATTAGTCACAGATCTGCCTCAATCTGTGGCATTTCACTGCTGTTTGAGAAGACAACAAAGCACGAGACAGGCTGGAAACCTCCTCCTCTTTCCTAACAGGCTCCCAGGGGCAGTGGAAGCTGAAGCCCAGAGAAATCAAGCAGCACAACCCTGGCATACAAGGTGCCACTTTCAGCCCAGTTACTTCAGGCAAAAACCAGGAGGGTGAGTTGTAAGGTGTCTGTCCTAGGATATGTGTGATTCAGTTACAGCTAAATTCACTGTCAGAAGCCTATACAGATCAACCCGGTGCAATATACATCAGACCTGCAGCTTAGCAGTGAAAGTTAATACCCCAGCACTACCCAAACAGTAAATATTTTTATTA